CAGTGTCTTATCGATCTTCCCAATCAGCACCCATCATTAAAGAGTGAAATCGCATTGTCGTTGCTTAAGAATAATATCACGTGTTACAAAAACTGCAGAGATTTATTTTCGTGCTATCACATGGCTCACAGAATTCATAATTGTATAGATTAAGTTAATTATTATAACAAATCAGGTAATAATTACCTATGGAAATTGAAGTCAGTATGAAAAGTCATACTGTTTTAGTGCTTTTTCGACACAAGGTATAGTACTGACATAGTCTATTGTTTATTGAATCATTTCTACAACCTTTACTCTCATCATTAAGCTTAGGCGACAAGAATAAATAAATATTTTATTTTCTTTAACTACGTATAAACCGAAAAATTAAACAAAATAAAAACTACAAAACTCAACTTAAACAAAAGCATATTAAACATACTGTAGAGTCATAAGTTTTTTTTTTTTTTTTTTTTTTTTTGTTTAAGCAAAAGACGAAAAATGAGCAATGCCCTCGCCGGAACTCGAACCTCGACCTATGGAACACGCGTCGCTTGTGCTACCGTTACACCACGAAGGCATGCGGAAAGAAGAGAAAAAATACCTTATATACTCCCCTTTTTAAAGGGCGACTGGGGAATCCCAGACCCAATCGCCAAATCTTGGTGGTGACAAATTATTGTCTACCCCCTTTTTATTTCAAGCGCAAGTGGAGAGGCACTAGGATTTTGTTTTAAACAGGAGACGTAAAAAAAGTGCAGTGTCCTCGTTGCGACTCGAACCCTGAACCTCTCGAGTATGCTTCCAATGAAACCATGAAGGCATGCTGAAAGGAGGGAAAAAATACCTTATAATATTTAACATATGAAAAAAAATGTAAACTAAATAGGTTATCACATCTAGTAACGGACCTTGCTAAACGGGACTATTCTAAGAAACGAGATTCTGGTAGCACTGGTTTAAACGGAAGGATTCCTAGAAAAAAAGAGCTACACTACGGAAACGATGTACCGGCTACGCGGGATTTTTTTAAACTTCGCAGAAAATGTTTCGGCTGGAGCTCTGTCCTGCATAGTGATCAACCAATCAGATAAAAGTTCTGCTTCTGGAGATTCCAATCTGAGCGATAATTGATTACTGTTTGGCGTTCAAGTCTTTGTAGTAAGTGAAAATGGTAACCTAGCTACGTGGGTTCCTGGAAATGTGAAGGTTCTGAGAACTGTCCCTTTCGACGTCAAGTCCCACGTAGCCGAAACATAATGTGATTGGGACCTTACATTCTAGCAATGCAAAACTTAATCGATTTTTAAAAAACAAAGAGAAAAGAAAAAAATTAAAGGCTTTTTAACAAAAGGAAGTATCCACTTTCACAATTACGCCCCCACTTCATAGTTTTGCAGATGCTTCTTTTTTTAACATTTTCCCATCCCAGCCTCTCTTAATATGATAAGTACGAGTAAAAAGGGTTTGCATTTCAGCTTTTACATTCCATGATGTCCTATTTCAGTTGCCCCCCCTCAGGGTTTCTGGAGGTGGCAACATTAATCGTGTCATTTCAAGCTGCCCACCCATTCTACAAGTTACTTCTACATTTTCAATTCTAAGCAAGTTTTAAGAACATAAAATGAACTGTGATCTCATATATAGTTGTTTTAAATTTTCTTGATAAGTTCTAAAGCACTGTCCTCTGTCACACACATTACAACTGCCAATATATTGCACAAATTATTATATACTTTCCCTACACATGCACATAATATGGAGATGTATTTCATACTTTGCGAGTAACAAAAATATATCTAAATGTGTTTTTAAATAAATTAAAATAACATAAATTATTAATACAACTGAATCTTTGATGAAGAGAAATATTACATATGGCTGCAGAGTTCCCACTGAAGTTTTATTAATTTATGGGCAAATTTTATCTTCAACCTTCACAAAGTTATTAAAAAGTGCAACCCAAGTAGTTAATTCAACTATCTAAATTAATAACATTTTCAGTTCCTGAAAATAATTTATACAAACCAGTGAGGCTACTGAATATTTCATTTACGATAAGGATATATAGAAATTTTCAAAATCATAGGTTAATACTGAAAACTTGATTTTTAATAATAGCTTTGATAAGTTCTTTGTTATTATTTATCGAGTTGGCCCGTAAGTCCTGCCATTTTTTTTATGTGAAAATTTTGCGTGAAAAATAAAATGTTGCATTTCACATTATTCGATACAATTTTTTCTGTACAATTTTTTTTTTTTAATTTTTTGTTCTTTACATGCGATCAAAATGAAGTGTCAGGTCGACAAAAAAGAGCATTTTTCGATGCCTTCTGCGTTTAAAGTTCCACAGAAGCTGCTTGAGAGAATTGTGGAGTGTATGGCGAAGAAGCGATGCTTCTTAGAACGACTTAAAATTGATTTAAGCTATTCAAAAATGGTGATTTCTATCGTCAAGGCAATGAAAAGCTTGTTGAACATTGTGAAGAAGTCATGAAGACCAAAGGAGAATACATTATTGATTGATTTGTTTTCCATTTCTTGTTTTTATTTATGGAAAACCTTAAAAAAAAAAGAAGCCTTTTGATTTTATATTACACCCAAAAGGCGTTTTTTTTTAATGTTTTGTGTGTTACCTTTATAAATTAAATATCATATTCTTCGCACTTAAACCACAATATCACAAAATATTTAAAACAGCATATCTTTAGAAATTCTTTAGACAGTTTTGGTGTGTGTATATATTGGATATATATATATATAAATTCCCCCTGTGGACAATGTTGCCATTGCTGGCTTTGAAATCACCGAGTTTGTTAATTAAAAATTTGTTAAAGTTTTACAAAATATGAAATACACAATAAAGCAAATTATTCGGGCTTCCAGGTGCCCATATTTTGGTAGAGGACTACGTTATTCAAAATTTGATGCCTGTAGGTACCATTGTTTTTTTCACTATGTGAGAAACATTCATGCAGATTCTTCGCTATTTTCTTTAAATGTAATATTTGGTGGCAAAAGTTTGAAAAGTAAACCAGCGCATAAAGTGAAACAATGCAAAATGCCATTTTGAGATTAGTAGTCCTTGAGTCTAACACCCCTTTGGACTAAAAATAAATAAATAGAGCCAGAACTTACGGGCCAACCCAATATAATACAACAGTAGTTTATTGATTGATAATACTAGTTTATTGATATTATTTTAAGCTTTGCCGCTACACTTGCCATGATTATTAAAATTGGTATTATTTTTAATAAATTGACAAATCTTTTTAAGATTATTAGCAAAGGCTAAATCAGTAGCTTTTCTGTAATTATTAATCAATTAACTGTGAATTTTATGAAATTTAAGAGGACTATAAATGCAAGAAATGTTTTTTTACTGTAATCACGAAAAATTTCTGATACTGTATTTCAGCAGAAATATTCATTCTGACCATTTTTGAATCCATTTGGACCATTTCTTTAAGTGATGTCTTTACGTAAGGACAGAATAAAAGACTGTTCTTTCCAAAACAGATTGTAAAATTCATTTAGAAGGAATTTTTTCCCGTGACATACATATGTATGTATGTATCTCGCATAACTCAATGCTATAAAATCCAGCTGAGCATCTCCTTTTTTCTGTTGCAATCAACAGAATCAAACGTATATATATATATATATATATCTTCAGATTCACCCTCTTTTCCAGTTTAAAAGCACAGAAATGTTTTAAATGACAAAAATATTTAAGTTTTGGCAATTTCAAATTTTAAAAAAAATTAATTTTTGACAAATAACAAAATCTAGCTCTTAATGTTGTTTCTCGGTTCCTATGCTTATATTTGGGAAAGCATTATACTTGTTCTAAAAAAATAAAATTAGAAGTTTGACTCCCGTACGATAAATTTGACCGGAATATTTAATTTAAAAATTGGTAATTTTTATGTCATTTTCAACTTCCCTTTAGGCATCACTCGATTAATAAATAATTAATAATAATTATTCTAAGATAGAATAATTTAAGGAAATAAGTTTAAATAAAGTGCAGTAAAAACAAATGTGTATACATTAATAAGCCGTACAAGGATATCATGTGGTGTCCACATCAGAGTTTTTCATAGATTTTTAATACTAGTAGCATTTTTTGAAGGTAAAGAAATTTTGTAAGCAATATTATTTTTTAATAACTTTTCAGTGACCTTTCTGTAGAATATTTTACAAAATCATACTAAAATTTTATAGGCTTTTTTAATAATAGTAATGATAAATTAGCTGTTTAATTTCTTCATTTTATTACTTAATTCCTTGAAATAAATTTTCTCATTAATAAATTACAGTTACTTAATGTTTTTATTGATAACATTATTACAGTTTTCGCTGATAGGTTATACTGTAAGCAGTATATTCATAATCTTCAAAAGCATCAACAGGTATGCTGTATTTGTAACTGGTAGTGAATAATATATTGGCTTCAAATTGAGCTTGATTTTATTAAGACAATTTTGCTAGAACTTTAATTGAATCTTAAAATTCTAACAAGAGAGCATGCTGTATTTGTAATTGGTAGTGATAATATATTGGTTTTGAAAGAGAGTTTGATTTTGTTAAGATAATTTTGTTCGAATTTTAATTTGGTATTTTTGGTATCAAATTCTGTGAGCTTTTTTAGATGTTTATAGTCGATGATTTTTAGGGTGCTTGTGATAATTAATATGTTTTGGTCATTATTACTATGTTTCTCACAAAAAGAGAGGTGATAATGTCAAGGAGGATTAATTTCAGATATTTAAATTTAATTGTGGTTAGAAAGCAGTCTTTTTAACCTTTTAGTCATATTTAAAGAAAATTTCATATTTTATATTATTAATTAATGAAAATAATTTGCTGCAATAATTTGAAAATAAATAAAAAACAAAAACAAATAACACAACACTTAGTCATTTCAATAATCTTAATTACTCACCCAGCATTTATGTAATATTTTGTTGTTTTTGTAATTTTATCATGATGCAATAATAATACATAACACCTGATTATTTTAAGAATTTTAATTGTTTATTCAAAAGGAAAATTTACACAGCATTTCTGAAGATATGACAAACAAAACATTGTCTATTTTCCATTAACAGAAGAGCAGAAATTTTGCTCTCTCATACTATGCACATGAATGAGCCTAGTGAATTATTTCCTAAAAGCAGTAATCCTAGTAGCCCCTTTTTGCCATCTAGCATAGGGTTTATTAATAGGATCAAGAATAGGTCTAGTATCAATTTTTGTTTCTAAAGCACTATCACTAGTTATAGACTTGATCCTTTGTTCACGTGGCTGACCCAATTCTTCCTTTTCAGTTGCATGAGTTTCATCAGCATCAGGTTCCCTAGTAGACAGAGATGACCCTTGAATAATATCTTGATCTGGTTTTGTGTTAGTAGGTACTGCTGATTTTACTCCAGCAAGTTCTGATGGCTTCTTATCTGCATCTGCCTTCACAGACTCTGCCAGTTTTGCATTAGCATGTTCTGAAGACTTTTTAATGCTAGAAGAATCAAATTCCATACTTTTTGCAAGACTAGGCACATCAGGTTTTTCTGATATCTTATTAGAAGAATCAGTTGCTTTTTCTATTTCAGAGAGATCTAATGGCAGTTTATCAGTTTGAGGTCTCAAGTTCAAATCATCAGAAGGTGAACCAGAATCGGTATCACTTTCAGTTGCTATAAAAAGTAGATAATTTTATTTCAATTCATAAAAATATAAGACTAAGTCAAAGAGTCTAAGGGACTTAAATTATGAGTAACAATTATTTCTCATTTAGAGAAAAAATTTCATTTCAAGAAGTGATGTTTTTCCATATATGTATGAGTAGATTTTTTTCGCATTTACAATTAACAGAAACTTATGAAGCAGATCAGCTAACTTGGGATAGAATTTTTTTCTAATACGACTGAAAAAAAAAGTTCACTTTAAGCAGAGATTAGTCAATTACAGTGTAGAATTCTCACAGCAATCTGAAGCAAAATTATAGGAATAGTCAGATAATTAATGGGAATATGTTAGTGAAGGGCATAATATGAGAGATACAGTGACTGCCAAAACACACTGGAACAACTTAATGACTATTAACCACAGTCACAAATCAGTTACTGCAGTCAAATAAATAATCAAAACATAACTCACAAAAACGAAACATCTGAACTTCCAGTTTTCTTTATTTTCTAACAACTGCCATGGTAACGCAAAACAATTTCATGCACTACTTTGTGGCTGTACAGTGCTATGCTCAGAGTATGAGTGCACAGCGCAGCACAAATGCATAAATTTTAAACAGAACTTAAGCATTTAAAACTGTCACTAAAATATTATGTAAAAGTAAAACAGTAACTAAAGTGTAATAACACTAATGATGCACAAAAGACATGCTGTTATAATAAGTAACAATACACAGATTCAAATTTATAAAACTTATTAGGAATAAAACGATAGATCAGTTCATAATTAAATAAATGTCATTTCTGAAATATCAATGCAATTTCTTTTTCTGCCTTATTATAGCAAAAATTCTTTTGCTTACTTAATTTAATATCAGAACCATGCACTTCATCTTTGCCAAAAGAAGAAATGTCATCTACCTGAAATTATAGCAAAAGCAAAAAATATATATAAATAATATATACAGCAAGATATGCTTTATTAAGTTTCATAGATTTTCCAAGAAATGATAATCAAAAACCAGAAAATATATATAATTAGCACATTGTTGTTGTCGTGTCCATAATACATGGAATAATGGTTGTCAGAGCCTGCTCCGAAGAGAGGTTGAACTTCTATTTTCCACCCCCAATTTTGAGGGAGAGCACTCAGTGGATCCGGGGTTCTCCCACCCTTCTCTCCTTCCACCAATCCACACAAGAGGACTTTCGACTTGTCACATATTTAGAGTGATGCCATGCAGCACCAACACTATATGTTTAGAAACATCCATGTCTTCTTCGGGATTCGAACCCGGACCCTTCAGTACCATATTAAGCTCCCCTAACCACTATACCGTAAAAGAATCATAAAAGTGCAGTATGAAATACCTAAAATTATATATTTCTAGATCATATAAACATCTAAAGAGGCAGCTGGTGACATATTAGGAAAGATTTGAGCAACACAAATGTAATATAAATGTAATATTTGAGTTTTTGAGGAGGATGAACCCAACTCACTCTTGAGTCATGGTTGAGAAAAACCGCTGTGCTGATGACTGGAGGGAAAATCACAATTGGCTTGATCACTTAAATACTTTTTTAACAGGAAAAAAAATTCTTCAGAAATACATCTTTGCTTAAACTGGTACCACATTAGGGACGTTAAATGAGCCACTCAACTTCCATATACAAGTTTACATTTTAAACATTTACAGAAGGAAGGCAAAGCAAGAGACGTGGTTTATGCAAGCAGCAGCAAACAAGAAAAAGTAATGCATACTAATAGCAGTCATATTTATAGCAGGAAGTCTGTGTGTTAATCCTGAGCTAAAGATTTCACAGTATAGCTCAGTCACGGCTCGGATTAACACAAAGACTTCCTTCGCAGAAATAGCAGGGAAGGAGTAATGTAATGCTGTGAGACAAAATGTGAGTGACAAAATGGTGCAAAGCATGTCTTTGAAAGAGTAATGTATTCAATTAAAATTTATGAATTCTGAGGTCTGCTGCAAATTGATTCCAGTTAAGTTTAATAATTTGTTGCATATAAGACATATGTTTCATAGAAGTACAAATTAATTATGTTTGACTAATGAATGACAATCTAAGTTTAGAAAGAGAGCTTTGGCTATTAATGGTGAGTATCTCTCGTATTAATTCCAATTTGATAGTTATACTGGTTTTTAAAGAGTTTAAAAGTTGCTTCCCTATTTTACTCAGACCAAATGCTGATAAAATGAAGACAATACCTTTACTTCAATGAATGTTAGAAATACCTAGATGTTTCGAAATTGTAGTATATAGCAAACAAAAAAGCAGGTGGATGATTTTTAATATATTTGCAGAATGCTTGAAGGAAAATGACAAGCACTAAGAAAAATAATTTTGTATTAAATTTACTATTTTTTTAAATTTTAAATTTTTTTCATTTTATGCTATTTGATCCTTCTGACTTTAAAAACAAAATATGAATAATATTTTAAAAACTAAAAGTATTGTGCTAAAATTGTGTAAAGCAATGGCATAATAGACTAGAAGAGAAACATGCTAATGTGACAATCAAAATCGTAAAAACAACCTTGTATTTAGCGTAGGTATAATGAAACATTAAATTGATTTCGAGGACAGCTAAAGGTCCCTCCTCATCAGGAGAAAGAAATACCTAGAAAGAAGAAAATAAAGGAGTCACAGAAACACGTGGTCCTTATCAGCACTGCACGTGGTTATAACTAGATTTTTAATCAGAGTTGCACTGGCCGCCTACTTTTACTGAGCCAGGCTGTCTGATCAAGCATAAAGAAATATTAGCGAAGTTAAAATAGGGAGCGAGGGGCAAATGCACCTTACGCTCAAAATCTGAACTTCAAATAATGGAAAGCAACCACTGAACGGATTTTTATACCCTCTGGTAGTACCAAACGCGAGGAGGTAACGCCATCTATCGGCAAAAATAATTGAATTAAGATAGTAGAATTTTAAAGGCATTAGGAAGGACTGGATTGGACTTCAAATCATTAACTAAACTTTGCTAAATCTTTGTGAATGTGAAAAGCCTCAAGAAAATCCAATTCGCCTATGGAAGAAGCCTTTTGGATGATTTTTGCAGACCCAAAATCAAAATTATGGTTAAAAGTCCAAGCTATGATACGCTATTGAAGACTTGTTAATTTCGCCTTTTTTGACATAAGATTCATGTTCCTTGATACGAAACTTCAACGCTCTTTTTGTTTGGCCAATATATCTTAAACCACACTGACATGATATACTATAAATTCCCCAAGAATTCAAGACAGAAACGCAATCTTTTAGAATCGAAGGGTGAATTTTATTAATAGGGGAGAAACCGACTTGAAAATTGAATTTCTGGAGAATCCGTGCAATTTTATAGCTAACAGAAGGATAAAATGGAAGCACGACAAGGTCATTAATATTATTTCTAACAGTGGAATGTCTTCTTTGATGGGAATCTGAAAATTTTTTAACGGCTTTATCAATAATCACGGGAGAAAATCCACGGTCAATCGCAACTGCTCTCAAATAATTAAGTTCATTGGTAAGCAAAGATTCAGAGGAACAAACTTTTAAGCGCGCGGAATACATAATAGTAAAAAGAAGCTATTTTTTGCTTAACAGGGTGGCATGACTCGGCATGGGGTGGTAAACAAACTGCAAAGGGTTTACGGTACACGGTGGTGCTAAAATCGGTTTCATTGCGGATTATAAGAATATCGAGGAAGGGGAGGGAATTGTTGGATTCAATTTCAAGAGTGAATTGGATGGCTGGATCAATTGAATTCATAATAGATAGAATCTCGGATAAATCCTCTTTATAACCGTCAAAAAGTGCGAAAGTGTCGTCAACATACCGAATCCAAAGACGAAAAGATAAGTTTATCAAATAATTTCATCTCAAAATAGTGCATATAAATGTCAGCAAGTACCGGACTGAGAGGATTACCCATAGCCAATCCTTCAACTTGACGAAAATATGCATTTTGGAAAACAAAGTGGGTTTGACTTAGAGAAACTTTAGTAAGCGAAACCAACTCATTAATTTCAGTATGTGTGAAGTGAAATTCCCGAAGCCTAGTTTCAAGACAATTTAGTGCTCCTTCGACCGGAACATTAGTAAACAGTGATTTGACATCAAATGAAACCATAATGGAACGAAGTGGGGAAATATTTTTAAGTTTATCAATGACTTCAACAGAATTTTTTACAGTGTGAATATTGTTAGCAAGTAGAGGAGAAAATCTGGAAACTAAATATTTGGCCAAAGGATATGAAGCAGTACCTATGTTGGAAACAATTGGTCGAAAAGGAATACCGGTTTTGTGGACTTTTGGAAGAGCATAAAGTCTAGCGCAATTAGTAATAGGTGGAATAAGTGATTTCTTCAACTGAGTTGGCAGAATGTGAGAAGATTTAATGGCACTTTTTTACTTTCGTGAGGTCCGAAGTTGAAGGATCTTTAGGGATCGAGCAGTATGGGCCTTCATTTATCAGTTTAGAGACTCCAGTAATATATGTGTGTTTGTCCATAACAACGATCTGTCCGCCCTTATCAGCTTTAGAGATAATGATATTAGTATCAGAATGAATTTCACGTAAGATCTCATTTTCCTTTTTTCTAAGATTTGAACTCAAAGATTTGTTGTTAAAATTAACGTTATGAGTAATTAGGTGGCGGATTGTATCCTTCTGCGTTTCCGAAATTTTGGAGAATTTAAAGGCTTTCTCTATAGGGGCGATGATTTGAGGAATTGAAGGTTTAGATGTCTTTGAAAAGTTGAAATTATATTTTAATACTTTTAACTGCTCCTCCGAAAGATTCCTATTGGAGATATTAACGATGGGGTTAACGTTTACAGTGAGAAGATCAGCTAGATAGTTGGGACTATCCGACTGGTGTGTGAGTTTAAGGAATTTAGAAATAAGCACATTTTTATGCCGTTGACAAACGGTATCGGTTCTAGACCAGGATGTATGTTCAAATGAGGAAACATTTTCAGTGGAATTAGCAATTTTTAAATGGAGGTAATATAATTCAAATTCAATTTTAGATAAACGTTTGCGTGTGTCCCTTATAATGCGATGAAGAAGTGTCAATTTGAATTTATGCAAAATTTTTGAAACGTGAACAGAAGCTTTAAAGCTACATTTCACATGTATAAATTTGGGAATGATATTTTGATGTTTGCATTTTAGTAGAAACTGTAGATGATTCAAGAATTTCGTACGCTTAAGGCGTAACTTACAAAATCGGTTCCTGTCAGTGGACATATTGTGAAAAGGGTACAAGCAAGAAACAAGTGAACAAAAGAAATATAATTCCGAAAGTCCAAACAAGTAATTACTTATAACATGAAAAAACACCAATAAATAATGAAGACAATTTTCATCAACATCTGACAAAAACATTCCAAAAGGAGAGAAACATCCAATACTGAAAACCAATAGCCACGTGGAAAGAAGCAACGAAAGTCAAAATGTTCTGTGGTAAACCGATAAAAAATAGAATTTCCTCGAAAATGCCGGTTGATAGCATAAACCAAATCCGAAAAACTAATGGCCACGTGGAAAGAAGTAAATAAAATGGTGCACATGGTAAAACAATAAACAGTAAAATATTCTCAAAAATGCCGGTTGATAGCACAAACTAGACTAGAAGAGAAACACGCGAATGTGACAATCAAAATCGTAAAAACAACCTTGTATTTAGCATAGGTATAATGAAACACTCAATCGATTTCGAGGGCAGGTAAAGGTCCCTCCTCATCAGGAGAAAGAAATACCTAGAAAGAAGAAAATAAAGGAGTCACAGAAACATGTGGTCCTTATCAGCACTGCACGTGGTTATAACTAGATTTTTAATCAGAGTTGCACTGGCCGCCTACTTTTACTGAGCCAGGCTATCTGATCGAGCATGAAAAATTAACAAAGTTAAAATAGGGAGCGAGGGGCAAATACACCTTACGCTCAAAATCTGAACTTTAAATAATGGAAAGCAACCACTGAACGGATGGCATAATGATAAAACTGTAAAGCAGTGTATGTAATTCATCCTAAATTAAGATATTTAATTATATATTTGTCTTATGTATGTATCATTTCTGAATGGCCCACTGAAAGACATATTAACTGAATTTTCTCTTTCAATATATACAATTTTCAAATGCATCATAGTCAGGGTCACAAAGTACTTTAAAAATAAATAAATAAAATAAAAATCTTGAATAAACAGTTCAAATGAATAAATATAAAACTTTAAATAATTATTTGAAGAAATATAATTCAACCATGCAACTCAAACAACTAAAATGAAATTCTAACAAAGAAAAAATTATCTTAAGTTAACAACTATGATTAAAAAATAAAGGAAATAATTTGAAAGAATAAATAATGCACCTGTTTTTGCACAATGAAAGGAAAAGTGAAGTAGGTTACCATAAATTAAGAATTTTTGCCAAGTGATTATTCTTGATGCAAACTGAAAAAAGTGCACCAAGATAAATTTTCAAATTTCTTTATTAAGTTTCTCACCAAATTTCATAAAATTTGATACTAAGCATAATTTGATTTGGAGAGTTAAAACTTAGAACATGAAAAAAAATTAGCAATTTATTTTAGAAAAAGTCCGATTCTGTGATAGTATGTGTTAGAACAGTGCTATATACCAGGAGTGGCCAAAGTGTGGCTCGCGAGCCTCATACGGCTCTCACAGTCAATTTGTGCGGCTCGTGCATATAAAATATATATATATGAAATATGGTAAACTAAAATTATTCAGTGCCCAAAAAGAAGTAATTAATTAGTTTAGACTCTTTTTACAAAGTTATCAGGGATTTCTTTCTATTTAAAACCTCCTCCACTACTTCTACAATGATGTAAATATGAACTTGTGGCTTTTAGAAAATCTAGATGTGGCTTTTGAACATTCCTGAATTCAAACGTGTGGCTCTTACTGACATGAAGTTTGGCCAACCCTGCTATATACAAATCTAATATATATCCTAAGTTGCACTTTTGAGGCATGAAAAATGCAAGTTGAATCTCATCAATCGGCCCAGTAAAACAGGAAATATAGAATTAACCTAATTATTTTTTTAATGTATGTTCTAGAAGTATCATTCATCATCTAACTGTACATTTAAAAGTTTACAATCCGAACTCCCCCCCCTTTTGTGAAAACATAAATCTACATACATTTCCTGCATGTTATATATATATCTGAATGCGATCAAATACTTAAAATGGCAGAATTTTTTTGATAATATGTGTTAGACATGTAATATGTTTTCTACCTATATTTTGAAAGCATTATACAAACAAATATTCATTTATTATACTAAAAAAAAAAAAAAAATCTGTCATTAAAAACACACTTTAAAAAAATTACCATAGGCATATAATTCTGGTTCCTATGTATTTTACCACTGACTTATTTTTAAAAATTACACCAAACAGTGCAATTCATTGCCAAGAGAGGATAAGCAGGATGTCACAACACACTCAAAAGAACTTTGCTTAGGTACTATATAACCTTGAACTTCAATAAGCCAGCGTCAATTTTGTATGGAAGTTACAAGTTAACTGCTCTTTCCCTGTTTCTCTCTCTCAATTTTAAAAATGATTAAAATTAGGGCCTTTATTTCTTACCCTTACATAACCATAAGTAGTTATGTATTTTCAAATTTGCAGGACTAGTTATACTGATGTGCACGCTCAAAACATTAAAATAATATGGAGTTTGTGAAATGGCACAATAAAAGCCACCATGAAATACCAGGATGACACTTAGATTCATATTTTAAGTGAAATTATGTGGTGGCAATTTTGTAAAGATGGTTACAGTTTTGTTGCTGTTTATATTCCAGTAGGGGTTTTTGATTGCTAAAATGCATTTGCTTGTCCAAGAATCCCAAAGCTTGAGATCGCAGATATTTAAGTTTTTATATGACATGTTAATAACTTTTATCTATTAATTATCTAACTAAATAAAGAGCAATTTGTTCCTTCAGACTTTCACCAGAAACACTGTCACAATCTCCACCAACTGTAATGGTCGATGGAAACTTAAGCATTTAAAACTGTTATTAAAATCATATTATGTAAAAGTAAAACAATAATTAAAGTGTAATAATACTAATGATGCACAAAAGACATGAAGCTGTAACAGATTAAAGCAACAACACACACATTCAAATTTTAAGAACTTCTTAAAAACGATAGATTAGGTTATGATAAAATATCAGATTTAGATTTATGTAAGTCTCATAATTTTTAATGCCTTAAAAAGGACACTTACTAATCCTTTCTTCTGTTTCCGTGCCATTTTAGCTTTCCGAATACATTCCCTGATTACAAGAAAGGGCCAAACAAAGAAAAAGAAAACATTCAAAACAAAAAGTGTTTGGTCTCTAATCCACCTTACACGTTCCATCCTAAAAAGTTATACATGTAAAAATTTAAACAATTAATGGTAAATTACAACATAATTTTCAAATTTAAAAAAGGGTCTTGATATACATAAGACGTAAACTGAAATATAAAATTTAGCAAGCATGAAGTTTCCCCTTGGACATCAAGTAACTCAAAATAAAGCCTTGTTTTATTTCAGAAATATATTGTTATGTTGATAAATACTCTTAACTGAATCCATTGTTTTCTTCCACTAACAATAATATTTTAACAATGGAATGCATAAATTTATTATCTTTCAGAGAAATTAAATAAAACAATTTTTATGGAAAAGATGATTAGCATAAATGTGATTTCAAAATTCTAGAATAAATTAATTGCAATAAATCTGTTATACAAAAAACCATCTGCATGATATTAAAGAATACAAATTTATACTCTAAAAATATTGCAGATTTTTGGCATTGACTACCAAAATTATTGACTATCAAGATATTCATAATAAAATACTTTTATCTCTATACATATAATAAAAGAAAGAGTCTGTCTGTGTGTGTGTCTATCGTTCGTGCTGCGCGTAAGCTAATAGACCCACGGCTACGAAATTTGGTACATAGGTGCATCTAGACAAGAGCCAGTGCACCTTGAAGTGATTTTTTCGAAATTTGAATTCGAATTTTTTTAACTTTATATTTTTTGACGAAATCGGGTCATTTTGAGACATAATGGGCTATAGGAAAGCGAGATTTTACTCTACCCACTCCATTTTCACATCGTCATGAAACGTAGGCACTTAGTTATTTTATGAACTTAAAATAAATTTCATGTTTTAACAAATCGATTAAATACGAATTTATTTAACAAAGGGAGCTTAACACCTTTTTAGTGGGATTTTTTCTAAAAAAGTTTATTTTTAAAAATTTACAGTTTATTTTACCTTAATTTTTGGACACGTTAAACTTTCATCCTTGTGACTGCTTTTACAAAAAGAATTTTTGAAAAATAATAATATTTTGTATTTTTAAAGAATTTTTTAAATGAAGCTTCCGAGTATACTTCTCACATCTCACATCTTTAAAAATGTGATTTTGGCAACAGTCTTATTGTTGTTGATAGATTTTTGATGAAATCGCATCATTTTGAATAGTTTCATTCTTTTAGAAATATGGGTTTGGAAACAATTTTTCATCGTATTTCTTATGTCACTGTTTTTAAGAGATTGGGATATTTCATTGTCATTTTTTATATATATAATACTTTTTTTTTTTTTTTTTTTTTTTTTTTTTTTGATAAAGTTGTTCTACAGAGTAAAATTCTGCATGGAATTTTTTGAGTTTCTTTCATGTTATTTCTTGCTTATTTCACTGTTTGTAAGATATTGAAAAGTTTTGCATGATTTTTTCCTTCGACGGAAAGTTGGTTAATTTTTTTATATGCAATATATTTTTAAATTTTTTTTTTTGAAGTTTTCTGCAGAGTAAAATTCTGTGCAATTTTTAAATTTAACATTTGGTGTTCCCTTCCGGCATTTTTATGGTACAGTTAAAAGTCAGACGAAGGCTGGCAGCGTAGCTGCTAGTTCAGTTATAAAAATATGAATAAATAAAATAATAAATGAAGAGGAAAAAAGAACCTACATGAATTTGTCTAGCACACTGTTTGCCTCAAGCTGAAGGCCATGCATAATCAGAGTCTAATAATCTAAATTTCCATAAAATTTATCTTAAACAGATATACACTTATTAAATTAAAATAAACATTATTACCATCTTTTTTTTTAATGTTTTCATGATTAACTCATGTGAATGGCATTAAAATTTTACTTAATATCTCAGACTTTGTAATAATCTCTTCTTAGAGCCACACAATACTAAGAAACTACATTACAGTTCCTTAATTTTAACTGAATTGCTCAGGAAGCAAGAAAGTAAAAAGTACTATCATTTACTCTAAAAAAGTAATTATAATTGTAATGAGTAACAAATACTTGATCTTACGTATCAGGATGAATAGGATAATGTTCGGTATCATACAAAACATCAAGATCTTTTAATTCAGGTTCAGAATACTTTTCAAGCGTCTTTGGTTGATAAACACAAGATTTCAATCCCAAAGTTGCTATTGCAGTAAACCCAAGAGCACCTAAAGCTGCTTTAATGAAACCTACAAAATACGGAAGTGTAATGAAAGTTGGCTAATGTTTAATAAAGATTAACAAAAGCAAAATATATGTTATTATAAAAGATTTATTGCAGATCAACAGCATCTTTAGCTTTTATTGCTCAAAATATATGTGATGGCAATCTATCTTCTCAAAAGAAAACACATGAATATATATCTGAATCTTATATCTAAACATCTGAATACTTCTTTACAATATACACATATATATATTGTTTGTTTACAAAAATATTTTAATTTATTTTTTTTGTATGATCATTTCTAAGCAATCGTTTCTTTAAAAAAAAAAAAAAAAAAAAAAACTGATATTTTAAATCTGGCAACTACAGTCAAAAGTCGTTAATCCGGACTCGTCGGGACTTCGGCGATTCCAGATTATCGATTTTTCCGGATTATAGATCATCAGTTTAAATCTGGTAAGATGGCATGTAGAAATTACAAAATTAAAAATATGAAACCGTAATTTATGAAATAAAGAACAACTATGATCTAAAGGGTATCAAAATTTACAAAAAGAAAAAGCTTAATATTTATTTGTTTACTTTATTAAACATTTCTTTCAATGTAAGTTGCTTCGTTTCATGTGATAATACTTTCTCTTTAATTCTATTAAACAAACATAATTTTTTGTTTAGTTACAAAGTTCCGCTGTTCAAGTCCTATAATTGCTTTAAATCGTATCAAAGACGGAGTACTTCGACATGAAAATACTACATTTAGTAAGGAATTATAAGCCAAATAAAATAAAAACATCTGCCGTGAAGATAAGGATAGTGCTGATAGATTAACTTCCAATTCATCGTGCTCCGCGGCGTTAAAGATAAACAAAGGATATGCCTTTATCCATTTTTTGCAGCAATTCCACTTTTTGTTTAATGAAGTTCGAAATATACTTTCGCTTTGTAGATCCGTTGCATATTAATAAATATATATCAGAAACTCTATTTGACCCCGAAGATAAGGATAGACCTGACAGATCAACTTCCAATCCGCGGCGTGAAATTGATAAACAGATTTCGGATTTCAAAACATACTTTCGCTTTGTAGATACAAATTACATATTAGTAAATATATATCGGAAATTCTATTTGACATAATCGAAAGTTCAAGCTTACTTTTATGAAATTGCTCTAACAGTCTGCAAAAAATAATAAGCCGGATCCAATTCGAAGATTAAGGAACAACGCAATCTACAACATTAACTGAATTAGATAATTTTAGCTTAGCTTATACCTCCGTTACACATTAAACGCGCATGCGCACAAAACATATTCGCAGAAGTAAAGGTCTTACGCGCACTCTTAACGCCTGTGCGCATGCGTGAACGCGACGCATGTGCAGAAAGTTTGTAGCTTTGAGGTTCGGATTATAGATCATTCCGGATTATGGGTGTCCGAATTAACGACTTTTGACTGTACATATTTGAAATAACAAAATAAAAAGAATGCTACTTTATTCATAATCTTCTGAAAATAGATCAATAAAAAATCTCGCCATGCTTTTTTAATCATGAATTTTAGGTATTTATATATTGTGATCTGAAAATTAGTGAAATTTTCTAATATAAGCATGTCTGGACATACCTTCATTTAAGGCAAAAAGAAAAATTAGCACATCTGTATAAAATGTAATATTAAATTACATGTGTATTTTTTTTACTTAATAGGTTTTGAATAACATTTTTTAAAATCACAGTACAAAACTAACTGCTGCAGTGACTTTTTATATCATAATTTTATGTCCATGAAAAAACACATGTAAGTATTAATAATCAGAAAAACGGGGAGTAATCAGATATGCATACAAATTAAGTATTAATAAATTAAAAAGATTTTAAATGTTCATAATGATATTTTTATGAATATCCTCAAATGCAGGTATATGTGTATGCTTGCATAAATAGGCAATATTCATAGATAATGTACATGAACATTTAAGTTTTCTTTGCTTGTAGTCATCAAATACTTGCTCACTTTCTCTGATTAGATGTGGCATAACAATAAACATTTTGCTGCATAAATTGCCCTCATATATGAAACTGTTGAATATATTAAACATAGCTTAGGTTTTGGAAGTAAATTCAGCTTTTCAATGAACCTGTCAGAAAATAAATACAAATGAGCATTTGAAATATTTTCAGTTTCATTAGCATCACTTTTCAAAGCATAATGTTTACCATTTGCTGTTCTTAAAATTTAATGATATGAAATGCACAGCAAATGTCTGTTTGCAAATTTTAAGTCTATAGTGTTACACTTGATCTGGTAATGTTAATTTAGTCATCTTAACAGATGTGATGTGAGTTATCACCATACCTGTTGTGATAAACAAGTCTCTCTCTCGCTTTTTTTTTTTTTTTTAAGCCCAAAGGGTATTAGCCCAGAAAAGCTATTAATTTTATTCTGGCATTTTATATTGATTCATTATAAACGGCGACGATTCACTTTTTAAATTGTTCCACCAAATATTAAAGCCCTATATTATATTACAGTACAAAATTCGTAATCCAGACTCGTCGGGACTTCGGCGATTCCGGATTAGGGATTTTTCCAGATTATAGATCATCAATTTAAATCTGGTAAGATGGCATACAGAAATTATGCAGTTAAAAATATGAAACCGTAATTTATGAAATAAATAGCAATCATGAGCTAAACGGTACCAAAATTTACCCCCCCCCCAAAAAAAAGCTTAACAGTTATTTGTTTACTTTATTAAACATTTCTTTCAATGTAAGTTGTTTAAGTTGCTTTATTTTTTGTGTTAATATTTTTTCTTTAATTCTACCAACTAACTTGTCAATCAAAATTTTTTCGTTTTCAATAATCTCTCTGTCACTTTCTTCACTATCGGAAGCGGTATTTTCTGGATCTAGAACCATACTACAGATTTCGCTATCCATTAATTGATTGGGGTATTGTCGTCACAATGAAAAACTTCTGCAGTGGAGTAGCGAGCATAACTGGCGCCCGGGGCAAAATATCTTTTTGGCGCCCTCCCCTCCGAAAAAAACAGAGTGATATGATGAAAATCTTGTTTGGAGACCATTTGGCGCCCCTCTGCGAGCAGCGCCCGGGGCATCATACACCCCCTTGCCCCTCCCTCACTACGCCACTGAACTTCTGTTATATCATCTTCATTTATTACCGTTTCTCCACATTTCTTTACAAAATCCAATAACTGGAAAATTTCACCTTTAGTTTGCGATGTTCGAAAACCTTCAAATTCGCGGCTATTATCTTCATCGTCCTCACCATGAAATATGGCAGCTGACCATAAATTGTGCCAAGCATTTTTCAACGTATCTTGGAGACACATCCTCCCATGATCTTGCGATGCTCCACACAGCAGATTTTATGCTGAAAATTTCAAAAAGCCTTAAATAATATTGCTATTGTTCACGAAATTTAACATAGATTTTAAATTTATTGCATTTGATCGATATTCTTCAAGCTGTATAGCGACATTGGGGAAATATTGGATCTTACTTCACTAAAACTTTAAGTGAAGTATGCGCCGAACAGTTGTCAGCAATCAGGACTATTTTTGCGTCATCAGTTAAACCAACCGAATTGAGATGTCCGTCCATCCATCCATCCATGTTGATATTGCTGGTGTGCAGCTAGTAAATGCCGCTTTACTGGCTCCTGGTGAGTGATGGTACCTGAAATTTGTTGGTCTTGAAGGATGGTGGTGGAACTAAAGGTCAGGAGAGAAGGGGGTGACCCTGCGTCACAGTGTACGAATCAGACTATTAGGAGAGCGCGGTGGTGAATAAATGTAATACATTCCTGATAAATGGGCATAATAGTACAATGAATACATGGTAAAATATAAAGCATATGAATAATAAAATAAAATAAAATATATAAACATAAATACATGCATAAAAATAATAAGTCTGGGATAACTAAGAATACAGCATACATAATAAAAAGATGAGTTCCTAAAAATTAAAAACAAAGATTAATTATAATACATATGTACAACACGATGGAAAGGAAAGAAATATATGACAAGTAATGATAATAATATATGAAACTATGCTGGAATAAATGCATTAATCTGGGTTTAGAATATGAGGATACAGATGCAAAAATAATTATTTACAGATATGTACAAGTAAAATTAGGTAGGGAAATTTTGATCACAGAGGTGGGCCGCCCAGGGTCTCAGATCTCTGTCCTCAGGTAGAACTGTATAATTGAAAACTTGGAAATATTTCATGAAGGGACAGTTGAGCGCTTTGCAGAAGAATTTATCATTTGTCTTCATAATATGATCCTTAATGTAGTCAATTTTTAAATCATTGTGAAGAGTGGCATTAGAAACATAGTAGTGCGCGTTCGTAATGAGTCGAAGAAATTTGTTTTGAACAATTTGAATTTTCTTTATGTCATTATTTTTCACTGCAGCCCAGGCAGGTGAAGCATAGCAGAGGGTAGGTCTGATGATGGCCGTGTAGATGTGCTTTTTACTTTTTAAATCGAGACCAGAAAATTTTCCTAATAGAGGCATGAGGTTTTTCATATTTCCGTAGGCTTTACCTTTAATAATATTGATATGGTCTGTCCAAGTGAGTCTATTGTTGATGGTGATACCGAGGTACTTTGCTTTATTAACAATGGGAATATTTTTATCGAAAAGCTTTAAGTTATTGCTAATGATCTGGTGAGTCTTTCTATTGCGGCTAATAATAAGGAGTTGAGATTTATCTGCGTTGATGACTATTCTCCATTGCTCACCAATTTTCAATGGAAGGCATAATGCTCTGTAATTTATGAATAGCTGCGTTGGGGCTAAGGGATTTTACTGCAAGAGCAGTATCATCCGCATAGCAACCAAGGAATCTGTTGATCTCGTTGTCTGGATTAGGAAAGTCAGATACATAAAATAAGTAGAGAATAGGACCTAAAATCGAGCCTTGGGCCACAGAGGCACGGATGTATTTAAAATCAGAGTTTTCTTGGCCGAAGGAAACA